CCTTTTTTTCCATCTGTCAAAATAAAAGCTGTAATACGCGACCGTTTAGTGCAGTAACAGTTTAGTCCTGTGATAACTAGGGGTGTAAGAAAATATCGATACACTGAAATATCGCGATATTTCATTTCCCGATACTGTATCGATATTCTAAAGCCCTGTATYGATTTTTTATTAAGGTTTAAAATGYCAACTTTCCTGCCAGCCGTTCATTTTTATGTTGTAGTTCAGCCTCTGACCACTAGTTGGCAGCAGTGAGCCAGMCATTTGGCTCCTCTACCTCTTGAGCTCCAGAGAGTAAGGGTAGCATTAGCATTGTGAGTAAACATTAGCTTCATGCTCCGATAGCTGAATGTGAGCAGAAAAGACCGACACCCTCTGCCTTCTAAGCTGAGGTAAGGTTACAAACAGTTACTTATTTGTCACAATGTCTGKATTTTAACACAAATTAAGTGTTTTGTGCTCTTTTTGCCAACTGTGGTCAGCTTTCACATTACACACAGCGCATGCTGTCACCTCGAGCTCAGCGCTCCCCCCGTGACATAAAACTGTTTCTCTCAATGATGTCCGGCTGATCACATCAAAGTCCAGATACTTTAAGTTTATCCTGCTGTGTTCACTTCAAAAACAGTTTAACTGTGTTGTTGTTGTTTATCTTCTCCATTTATTTACAGTTTATTTTCAGGACCTGCCCTGCTGTTCGACCCACAGATCATGTTCTGGATGCAGGTCAGCTGATCCCAGAAACTCTGTGCAGCAGCTTCATATCATCTGTTTACTGAACTTTATGACAACATAAACACTATTGTTAACTGTTGGCTGACCATAGTGTAAATTAATATTAAAAACTAAAAGCTGCAAAAATATATTTTCTAACTATTTATTGGCAAATTTAGTCTAATAATTGAAAACATGGATGAAATAAGAAATATGAAACAAATAAAATCAAATACATACAAAGCAGAACACAGTTAAATGTATCAAAAGTATGTCTGTAATATTAGAATTTTCTGAGACAATGAATATTTTTTAACCAGTAAGAGGTTTTTATTTAATAGAATTTTTGGACAAAAAAATYGSAATATATCTCCTTGTTTACAGTATSACAATATATCAGGATATATCGTATCGTGACCCCTCTGTYATGATATGTATCGTATCGCCAAATTCTTGTCAATACACAGCCCTACTTATGAAGTACACTTACACACAGGACAGATGGACTTGTAGAAGAGTATCAAATAATAAATATTTATCTCATTTAACTATGCAACTATTAAAGAATTATAGGCAGTGAGTGCAGCAGTAAGAGGATTAACTGAAGCCAACAGGAAGTCGGGAACGTAAAGAGTTAAAAGGACAAAGAGCTTCTGTGTAATGAGCCCCTGCAGCCGGCTTATTGTCCTGATAATGGATCCGACAGGAATTCCTTCAGATGGCATTAAGGAGACCCCCGGAGAGAGCCAAACCTGTCCCTGCACGGTCCCACATTCACGTCAGTCATGCAGTTTCACCCTTTCTGCTCTCACACACACACACACCTAAAAGCATGTGTGCAAAACCAAAACCAAAACCAAACAGCGTGTCTCTTGCTGTCAGCGGCTGAGCTTGTCGGCACCGAGGGGTTGCAGCCACCTCACCAACACAACAGTTCCAGGTGGGGTCAGTTTGCWGCACTCTTCACACTCTCTGCTCACACCAGTCAAGCTGCTGGTGAATAAGAATAAAGTGAGAAGCTGAGCAGGAATCAAAGTTTCACAACAAAGGAATTTAATTTGTCTCTCTCTCTTCCAGGAATGGTTGTGTAGCTCCAGGGCGTCTGCCAGGACAGCCTCTGAGTGTGTGTGGGGGCAGGAAGCGTGGCCTCGGATTACACAGGCCTGATGGGTGGGAGTGTCCATGGCTTGGGTCAGGGAGGGACAGGGAACATGAGGCCAGAACCTCATGGTGCCTCTGGCTGAACGCACTGGTTAGATAATAGCTGACACACATCAACTGAAACTCTTCTCAAAGACTGAGGGAAACACTATAAACTAAATATCAGAAATAAGCAGAAACCTCTTTATTATTCATTTATTTAATGTCCTGAAACTGAGAAACATCTGAAACATGTAGTGGTTGACTGAAAACCACTGTGCTAAACAACATCAGTGTGTTCAACTCACACATTACTGAGAAACAATTAAAGTCTCAACAAAACATTTTAAAACTGAATCAGCTGAACTAAATTTCTTTACTTCTTCATTCATTTAAAAATAACAACATTTATGTATAATTAAATACAAATCACAAATAAAATGAAAGGTGGCAGAAAGAGGAAAAAATCTTATAGCATCTGTGCCTTTTTCTTCTCAAAAATAAATTTTAAACAATAATAATTTACCAACAAAAACAACCTCAAGTCCTTGTTGAACAACATTTTGTATGAATACGCATTATATTGTTTCATATTTCTTTAAACAAAGTGACTTTTATCATTCTCTTAAACATAAATCTGGCATTTTTGACCTCCCTCTCCAGATTGTTCCACTACATCACTCCCTCAAACTGTTCAAAATCCAGGTTTCACAAACATCTCAACCCCTTCAGATCATAACAACTTTCTCTCTTCACAATATTTAATTGGTTGTTTAAATGTAATATACATTTATGAGCCTTATACATAACCTGTAAAATATTATAATCAACCAACTCAAGGAACTTCAATAATTTCAACTGATAAAAGAAAACATTTGATGGACTGTAGTGTTTTCTAGTGATATTTCTTACAGCTCCTTTCTGTAAAACAAAAACAGGGTTTATAATTGTTTTACATGGTTTCCCCTGACTTCTACACAATAAACCAGGTGTGGAACAACCATTACATTATACAACATATACTACACAATCAGAAGCTGTCTAAATGAAACTTTATTCCCTGGGAAAATAAATAAAAATAACATATTTAGCAAATATGAAAAGAAATCTAATGAAAAATTAAGAACTCAATACTTAAAACTCCCCATGCAACCAAAAGCTAAAGAAACACACTTTAAAATTTTGAATGCAATTTACCCTCCAAAGAGCCAAGAAATCGTTTCAATATTGATGAGAACAAACGTTGTTTTTGTGAAAAGGATTTAGAAACAACAGACCACATTTTCTATGAATGCAACAAAATCTAAATATGTTGGAGTTACCTTTAAAGGTGGATCAAACTGAAAATTACACTTCCTGAATCTGTCTCTAGAGACATGACAACATTTGGTGTTTTACTGGCAGTGTTGTATAAAGTATCTCAAAGTGATACTTGAGTAAAAGTACAAGTA